CACTGTCATTAGTCGAACACCTTAAAATAGCCAATATTATTCACAGCAAATTGCACGGCTCACGATGAAGGACGAACGCCGGCCAAATCCCAACGCATTTTCTCATTGCCGTAAAGACATAAAGCCCCGTGTTGCAGAAGTTGCAGCGCATTGCCACTCATTAGCGCCTGTAAAGTCGTCTCTGGTTGCCCCCGAGGAGGTAATTAGCGGAGTTAATTACACAAACCTTCGACTTTCACGGTTTTCGATCTCGTGCGACGGTCTCGGATGTGGAAAGCGGGAGATGGCCGTGTCTGAGCGAGGGCGAGGCTGTATTAAATGTATTTTTGGGTGTTTTTTGTAGTTTTTATTTATCTCTGTTTATCTGTATATCTATCTATCTATATACATACATACATACATACATACATACATACATACACGCACACGCACACGCACACGCACACGCACACACACACACACACGCACACACACACGCACACACACACACACACACACACACACACACACACACACACACACACACACACACACACACACACACACACACACACACACACACACACATATATATATATGCCTATCTATCTGTCTGTCTCTTCATTCTTCCTTCTCCTTCTCCTCCTCTTCTTCCCCCTTCTTCTTCTTCTTATCATCTTCCTCTTTTTCTTTCTCTTCCTTTTCCTCTTCCTCCTCTTCTCCCTCTTCCATAACCTGTATCAAAATCTATTAAATGATCTGTTTATCTATCTAGATCTCTCACTATTTTTAACGACACGCGAAAGAAAAAGTGTTCATCTGATATTTTTTTTATTTTTTATTAGTGAACGGTGTCGCTCGAACAGATGTTTTTGGAAACGATTTATTTTTTTCACTTTCTTTCATCCGCTTCATTTTTGATTGGTGTGTTTTCTTTGTTTTTCTTTCTCGGACTTTCTCGGCTATTTTTTTGCGACATTTTTTTTTCTGTATTTGGCTTTTCGACAAATCCATTCTTGTAGAATACCCTGTGTTTACGTATATATATGTAAATAGATAGATGCATAGATAGACAAATATAGATATGTATAGGCGCACACGCACGCCCGCACACACCTACCTCCCCCCCCCCAACACACAGTCCTTCCCCTCCCTCCCCCCCTCTATCCCTCTCTCCGAAACAAATTACGTCTTATCCACAAATTCACAATTTTCGACCCCTTCTCGATCTTAAATGATTGAATTTACAACACTCTTTGCGATTTTGGGGGGATAAGGGCAGCTTAGGATAAGGGGAAAGGGCCTCATCCTTATCATCTTTATCCAAGCATTGCTGGTATCAGATGGTATCGTTTTTTTTTTTGTTTTTTTGTTTTTTTTTTTTTCTTTTTTTTTGATGATTTGATGGGAGTAATTTTGTGATGGTGATGATAATGGGGGTCGTCTTAATTGACTATAATTATGGGTATTGGTGAGTATGGGAATAATGGTATTTATTATAAAAGCAAGTAGGAGAATGGAGGGGAATAGAAGAAAAAGGAGAAGGAAGAGGAGGAGGAGGAGGAGGAGGAGGAGGAGGAGGAGGAGGAGGAGGAGGAGGAGGAGGAGGAGGAGGAGGAGGAGGAGGAGGAGGAGGAGAAGGAGAAGGAGAACAAGAAGAACAAGAAGAACAAGAAGAACAAGGAGAAGAAGAGAAGAAAAAGGAGGAGGAGAAGAAGAAGTAGAAGTAGGAGAAGGAGAAGGAGAAGGAGAAGGAGGAGGAGGGGAAGAGGAAAGCAAGAAAAAGAGCAAGGAGGCGAGAAGAAAGCAAAGACTCGACAGCGAACGAAGGCGAAGGAGGAGGTGGAGGAGGTGGAAGAGGGGGGAGGGAGAGAGGGAGGGAGGGGGGGGAGGGGATTACCTGGTGTAAGCGAGCCCCAGCGTCGAGTTACATCTGAGGGATTACTCGGGATTACCTCAAGGGTTTCCAGACTGCTTAGCTAAAGGGTAAGGGATTCTAATGAAGGTTTTGCACGGGTTTAAAGGGTTAATGTGACTTGCTCGACAACGTAAGCACTTGTTCGCCCCGACGCGCCCGCCCGGATCCTTGGGGACGCACTCTCGATTTCGGGCGGGTTTTTTAGGACACACAGAGGCCGGTGCACGTAGCTGTGGGCAGGCTTAGACGCACACGGACAGAACACGTGTACACGTTTTCTTTCCCGCACATACGCACGCACAGGCACACACACACACACACACACACACACACACACACACACACACACACACACACACACACACACACACACACACACACACACACACACACACACACACACACACGCACACACACACATACAAGGCGCTCTTCAAAGGGAGTTGCGCGGACGCCGGGCGATTGTCTTCTTTTTTTATTTCCCTCGCGATGTTGAAAGGAAAGGTGGGAAAATTTCGCGTTGAAAGTGCGCGCGGAGTGACGAGCGCCAAGACCCACTTTGAGGTCTTGCTTAATGCACGCACTCTGTTGCCGGGTATTGCGCACGCATGCACGCAGCGCACGCAACGTCAGTCCCTTTTCTTTGTCGCATTATGTTTGTTTGGTTCTTATTCCGTCTCTCTCTCTCTCTCTCTCTCTCTCTCTCTCTCTCTCTCTCTCTCTCTCTCTCTCTCTCTCTCTCTCTCTCTCTCTCTCTCTCTGTCTCTGTCTCTGTCTCTCTCTCTCTCTCTCTCTCTCACTCTCTCACTACCCCCCCGTCTCTCTCTCACCTCTCTCACACAAACACAGGCAGACACACTGACAGACACACAGGAAAACAGAGACAGAAGCACACAGAGAGAGACAGAGAGAGAAATAGAGAGAGAAAAAGGGCGTGATTCATCTTGGAGTAGAATTGCACACTGCAGCGACAACCGGACTGCGTCACCGTGGCTAATCCGGCGCGTGGATTTTTTTTTTTCTCCGTTACTTGAGGACCGAATTACTGTGTGACTGACTGACTGACTGACTGACTGACTGGCGGCGGTAAATGGGTTAGGAGGCGGGCGGGCGGACGCAGCTGCTCTTGTGTCGGGTTCCATTTTTCCCTTCGCTCCAAAAAAAAAAAAGAGAGAGAGAGAGAGGAAAAAAAACGAAGAGGAGGGGAAAAATTCGCGACGGAAAATGGGTCGAGGCAGTTGCTCGCTGCGGACCCCGTTTTGCTTGTTTATTTTTGCTTCCCTTGTTTCTTTCCTCAGTTTTTCGTTGCCTTGGAGTTATTTTTCCTCTCTCTCTCTCTCTCTCTCTCTCTCTCTCTCTCTCTCTCTCTCTCTCTCTCTCTCTCTCTCTCTCTCTCTCTCTCTCTTTTTTCTCTTTTTCTCTCTTTCTCTTTCTCTCTCATACACACACGCACACGCACCCCCCCCCCCCCACACACCTCTCTTCCTTTTTTTTCCTTCTCAACTCTCCAACTCTCTTTAAGCTTCGTGTAAACACAGTCCAAAAGGGGAGTGGTTTTTGGAATCCCCAGAACGTTTAGGCCTATAATAAAACGTAAACACTCGAAACAGAAGAACAACATTAAAAAAAAAGACTTGCCTTTCCGTTTTTGCTCTAGGCCGTGAGTCATCTTACCACATAGGCCTATGTATGGGAAGGGAATGCCCGAATCTCCGGGTTTGCTTGTTCAGAATTGTTCATTGGGCCGATGTTGCGGTTTCATTGCGTAGGCCTAGTTCTAAATCTATGCGCAGGGTGTTTCTTTCGGGAGGCATTTAGGGGAGGTGAGGGGGGAGGGGGAGGTGGAGGGTGGAAGAAGAGGTTGGAGGGAGTGTGGGAGAGGGGGGGAGGGGGCTGGAGAGGGGGAGGGAAGGGGGAGGGTTGGATTTAAGCGGTTGTAAAGAGTGTGGGAGAGGGGGGGAGGGGGAGAGGGGGAGAGAGAGGAAGGGATATTGAGGGGGGGGTGGATAGGGGTAAGGGGGATGGAAGAGGTAAAGAGAGCGGGAAAGGGGTGAGAGAAAGAAATGTAAAAGAGGAGGGGGGGGAGGGAGGAAGAGCTTGTAGGGAGTACGGGAGAGGGGAAAGGGAGGGGGAAGAGGGGGAGGAGGGAGAGCTTGTAGGGAGTATGGGAGAGAGGGGAATGGGGTAAAAGGAAGAGATTGAGAGTGGGGGGGGAGGGAAGGGGGGGAAAGAAAGAGGTTGGAGGTGAGGGGAGAGGGAAGGGGAGGAAGGAGTTGTTGAGGGGAAAAGGTGTAGGGGAAGGGTGGGAGGAAGAGGTTATTTAAGTAATGTTGGGGTGGGCGAGGGGAGGGAGGAAGAGGGCTTTAGGAGTGAGGGAGGGGTGGGGGAGGGGAAGAGGAAGAGGGGAGGGAGAGGTTGTTCAAGTGATAGGAAGGGGGGGAGGAAGTTGTTCAAGAGATAGGGATTAGGAAGGAGGTAGTTCAAGCGATAGGAAAGGGAGGAGGTTAGGAGGTTGTTCAAGGAATAGAAAAGGAAAGAGGAGGTTGTTCAAGGAATAGGAAGGGAGGATGAGGTTGTTCAAGGAATAGGAATGGATAGAAGAGGTTGTTCAAGGGATAGAAAAGAGAGGAGGAGATTGTTCAAGGAATAGGAAGGGATAGAGGAGATTGTTCAAGGGGTTAGGAAAGAGAGGAGGTTAGGAGGTTGTTCAAGGAATAGAAAAGGAAGGAGGTTGTTCAAGGAATAGGAAGGGAGGAGGAGATTGTTCAAGGAATAGGAACGGATAGAAGAGGTTGTTCAAGGGATAGAAAAGGGAGGAGGAGATTGTTCAAGGAATAGGAAGGGATAGAGGAGATTGTTCAAGGGGTTAGGAAAGAGAGGAGGTTAGGAGGTTGTTCAAGGAATAGGAAGGGAGGAGGAGCTTGTTCAAGGAATAGGAAGGGAGGAGGAGATTGTTCAAGGAATAGGAATGGATAGAAGAGGTTGTTCAAGGGATAGAAAAGGGAGGAGGAGGTTGTTCAAGGAATAGGAAGGGAGGAGGAGGTTGTTCAAGGAATAGAAAAGGAAGGAGGAGGTTGTTCAAGGAATAGGAAGGGAGGAGGAG